CCCCAAAACCCCAAAACCCCAAAACCCCAAAACCCCAAGTTAACCTTATATAATTGGGTAACTATTTAAGATAACTTGTAAGTTATTTAAGACTCATATATTCTCCTCCTTGCATATGCTCCCTTTTTTATTGCATCTAATTAGTTCAAGCACGTTAGCAACTTTTAGAGCATAAAAATATAAAGAGTTTAGGAAATAAAGGAGTTTAGCTGTTCTTTAACTAGCTTAGAACATTTAGAATTACTTACTTGATATGTTCTGATGCACTAGAATAATTATAAGTAAAATACTTACATTTATCATACTGTTTGCTATAAAACGGTTTATCAAGAGTAATGGATATAAATATTTCAAAATTATATATTTCATTGTAAACGAGTGTTTCAAATTATTATTACACGAATCATTTTGAAATTAACTTCATAAAAATAAAGAAAACTTACATAAAATATTCAACAGAACTTGTACAAGATTTGATATTCAAATTTTGAGGCTCTGTAATTTAATCATTCAATTACTGCTAGAATGCTCGTGCTTGCTCATTTGTATAATCTTTTGACACTTTTCCAGCAAAGAGCCTTTATTAGGCCTCCTTACTTTAACAAAGGTCTGGGAATTCTTATCAAATTCACTAGCATCCAACATGACTAAAGATATTTTATCCAGATATTTAAAAACGTACTATCATGTTCAAAATCCTTGTTAAACCTACCAGACTGATCTAAACGATGAACTTTCACCAAACTTTCCCTACTCTGCCTCAGCCCTCCCCCACTCATCCCTACACCCTAGCATCCAAAAACTCACTATAACTGCCTCTTAAAGGCCTTGCTGCCTTCTGTCTCTCTCCTCCATACAGTGCTGAGCCCCCTCTCCTCTTCATCTTATACTTAACCTTCAACTTCTCCACCTCCTCATCAATCAACTTGTCCACTACAGCTCCTTAATCCTTAACTTACCTGAAGAATTATTGTTAAAACTCATCTCTGACAGCTCAGAGACCGCAACCGACTGGTTCTGGTTGCGCTTCCTTTGTTTCCGGTTCATAGCCCTGGTTATCCTCCTGCATTGCCACACAGCCCTTCAGTGGTTATTTAGCTACTGTTTCGAGGTCGTAGGTGGCTTTTTGGGGGCCTGTTTTAGAAGCGAGGGCTGGGATAGGGGCCTAAAAGTTGGTGATGCCAGTCAAAATTTTAGAGAGAGGAGAATAAAGGATGCAGACAGGGGAGATTTTGGGGTTGACGAATTCGGAAGTGGGATGCGAGGGCTTACTCCTATGTCAAAATCTTGGAGTCTAGATTATGGTAAGATTATGTAGGGTTACTTATTTGTAAGCTTTGAGGACTTCTTTTGAGTAAACATGGCCGTGAGGATCGTGGCTGTCTCGCTTTTCGTTGAATCTATTACAAAGTGAGTTCTAGCGCAGAATTTGAGCTTACGATTCTGTTCCTAAATATGCTGCTATAAGACAATTTTAAACACGATTAGTAGTTAAAATTTTATTTAAAATCAAAGACTAAAACTTACCTTTTCTTGAATTTTCAGGTATCCTGTTCATTCCAAATACCTGCACACTAGAGTAATTAATTCTAATAGAATACCTTAGCTCTTTTATTCTTTGATCTGGGTTCCGATCTTGCAATGACTTTAGCAATTTTTCAGCTTTTTCTTTTCAAATTAGAAAGTCCTCATTTTCTAATTTATCAGAAGGAAGATACCTGAGGTATTATTATTAGGTTGCATGTTTAATGGAATCAAATTGAGAGCATTTTCACACTTGAACCCTCCTCCTTTCTCAGGAAGGTAATACATAACACCGGATATATTATCTGCTGTGTCATCTTTCTGTTGCCTAAACCTCACAAACCACGTATACCTTTTAATAAAGGATCTGCCCATTTTGCCAGTATGTATCCGTGCAGGTGTTGCATTTACCGAAAGAGAGATTTTTGAAGACCTTTTGACTGATTTGCTATGACTAACCATAATTCACAGCCATACTTAGTAACCACACTCAGATTTAATTTATTCAGCAATGGTTTAGGTCTTCTTATGCCAGATATATCCCCATTGACTGCTACGCTTTTGTTCTTTTGAGAAGTTTCAAAAATGAGGAATTCGCTTGGCTTCTAACTTTAGACCATAAGTTACCTCCTTGTGTGCGAAAGTCTAAAAATTAAATGCAAGAGATACCTCATCAAGCTCAAACTGTTGGCTTAAGATCTTCTCAGGTTCATCTATATGGTGTATTAGACCCATTTTGAGAATGAAAAATTTGGCTTAACCACTCTACACCTATCTCATGAATCTGGCAGATATTGTCTTTTTTAGATTCATAAATAACAAGACTTTGAATAAAGGGAGACCAAGGGAAGATCTAAGCACCTTGCTAAGACTTAGGACAAAAATAAAAGAACTTAACGACTAGTATAATATTCCTGGGTTTAATAATAAAAGAGGAGACAGAGTATTCTGGAGTCATTACAGTAAGCATTCATTAATGGTGGAAAATTGATTTAGAAACAATAATAATTACTTCTAGGATTAAAACAAAAAGAAGATTTTTAATTTACGATACATAATATGTACTATTGAGTTTACTTTTACAAGAAATAATATTGATCTTAAGTTAAGTTGGGAATTACCTTTTTCTTTATTTAAATGGAGATTTGGGCAATTTCTTTGGACTCAAAAAATCACATCCATGAGGGCTATACATTTATAACCTCTCCCATTTTTCCAAAATACCTCCTAGTCGATGGTTTCTTCTGCAGCATTCTTAACTTCTCTAAAATTCCCAATCCAACCTTACTCTGATGCTTTTCCTCGATTTTCTTCAACTCAGGAGTAACCTTAACAAGTGGCTGAATCAGACTTTTGCCTGAAAAGTACATAGAGAGCTATAGCCATCAAAATGAATTTCTGAAACGCATTCATAAGCGAAATCCCTTTAAAATTACCCTCCTCAAATTGTCATTGCTAGGTTTTTCCATTTTGAAATTTATTTTCAATAATAATTAATTCATACGGGGTTTTGGGGTTTTGGGGTTTTGGGGG